AAAACAAATTTTCATTTTAAATGGATAGGATAAAAATTTTGATACAAAACAAAAAACTTTATGCTGTTTCTTTAGAGAATTGACTGTGTACATAATTATGCTAGAGCAAGCTGATCGCCAGGAATCAGTTTTCCTTCTTACTGCATGTAGTGATTTTGTTGGGTTTTCCATTTTCCATTTTAACCTACTCGAAGTAGCTGTGCATTGTGGGAATCATGTAGTATTCATAATGCACATACTTCTGTTGAATCCTGTGTAGTTCATGGAATTAGATCAACCCTTTTTGTTTAGGGCTTTCATTTATCCTGCCTTCTGAAAACCTGGGCCAGAGTATCAAATTTGGATTAAGTTTGATTTAAAAAATGGTTATGATCAAGAGGATCAAATGAATGACTAAAACTGAAGTTCTATGATTGCGGTTTTCAAACTTTTTGATTCTGAAAAATTGTACTGTTTACTTTCTCTTTTTGGATCTTGCTTTTTGGAGAAACCTGTTTTCTCTCTCTCATAATATGTAATGTCAAATGAATGATAGGAGTAGAAGATACATTTCTTGGGTAAGATGAAAATTAAACAAACAAACAAAAAACAGTTTTCTATCATCTCTATTTTGATTTGCAAAGGGAAAAAAAATTTCATCCACCTAAATGCAGGTTTGAAGCTATTTAAGAACCGCAAAGGATAAGACCAGATTTGGAGGAAGAACAATGCTTTGTGTAGAAATACATAAAAATAAACAAGGAGTGACTTCCTCTGCAAGAAGAATGTTTATACAATTCATGCACTCCTTATTAGCTGGGCAAGTTATAACCATTATTTTTCTAAGTGTGAAGAAGAAAATATTTCATCATCCTTTAAGATGATTTTCTTTATCTGATCAAATGGAAGAGTTGCTTCCCACACATAAACTGCTTTACACAATTGTCTGCAAGAGGGTTCTGTTTTTCCCCCTTAAACATGACTGTGCCAAAGCTGCCTGAAGTGAAACAACATATTCATGACTAAAATTTGATTCCTTCACTTTTTCAATAGATGTCTTTGTACATGATACCTTGTGCAGATGTGTGTAGTTTATTGCATCTGGGCATAAAGAAAAGCTCACTGAAGCCTGAGAAACAAGCATATGAGATCCCTGGTGGGCACTGAGTTTCATGTGAATTTGCAATTTTGATTTAATGTGTTGTTCAGAGGGAATTAATAGCTGCATTATGTCAATGTGCTGTCACTTTAATCGGATTTGAATGGCTGCTCATTACTGCGGAAAACAGTAGATTTCTACTAGTAAAATGATTGATTCTTTCTATATTCACCACCATCAATTTTATAGCATTTAGTATTCTGCATGATTAAAGTACACAAATACATAACACATACATATATGTAGATAAGCAGGTAGGTAGGTAGGTAAATACATGATACATATATACATACATATATGCATACTTAAAATACTTTGTATAAGAATTTCATCCTAATAACAAAAAACCTACTTGGACTGCATTCATTTGTATGGAACTGATTGATTCTTGTTTTCAAAATTGTTTGTTGAATTCAGCAATTGTAAAGTGGTACTGAAGTTTAGTATTTGCAGTAGTTCGCCTTCTTAAGGTGATATCAAATTAATGTCAAATCATCAGGGGAAAAAGGCAAGTATTTTTATGGATTATTATTAAACCTCAGAAAGAGAAAAAAATATCTGATATTTCTAGCATGTTCATGAGTTTTCCAATATATTACATATAAACTTGATTGTGGTATACTTCTCTAAGAGGTGTGCAAGGAAAAACCTGGTAATATTTGAGGGAAGGATAAGTTTGAGCCAAAGAATACTTTTCAAATTTTGAGTTTCATATAAGAGCCCTCTTTTTTTTTTTTTCTTTTACCGAAGTTTCCCAGTCTCCTCTTTCTTTCTTTCTTTTTTAATTTTTAGTGTGATTTGGGTAAAAGTTTACAGAGCCAATTGACCTTCCATACAGCAGCACACGTACACGTCTCATGACATTGACTGCAATTCCCAACAATGCAACAGCTCCCCTCGCACCTCCTCCCCATGGTTACCTCTTCCCTGTGTCCTTCTCTCTCATGCACTCCTGCCCCCCCACCAGCTGTCTTCCTTGTGCATACATAGCCTTTCTATTCTCCCGTGATTGATCTCGCCAAGGAGTATATCTACCTAATGTAAATGTTCAGCTCATATGCCTGTCTTTGGTTTGGCTTTTTTTTTTTTTTTTTTGATATTTTAAGATTATGTGTAATAGGTTACTTGTGAAAAATTAAAATGATCTTAAGCAAACATATTTTAACATTTTTGAAGTTAGTTAATCATATCTTTAATATTAGGTGCATGGCTTTTAAAAGGTTAAAGATTAAAAAAATTAATTACTGATACTGCTTCAACAGTGGTGATTCATCCACTACAATATAATTAGCAAAAATGATACAGATAATTTAAGTTGCAGAAAAAACAATTCTGAGGAGCCTTCCTAGGTTTTATGGCTACACAAAAATTTGATGTCAATAAACTGAATAGCAAAATGAGTGGGTTCATTTCCAGT